GTCTCCTGGTGATTGGCCCAAAGTCACCCAGTTGGCTTTCCTGCCTGAGGCAATACTAGAACTCACCATCTCCTGATTTCTGGCCTGCTATACCTTACCTTAAGAGACTGGACTGCCATTTGTCAGAAGTGGTGTAGGGTCTGCTGTTTGGGCGGTGGGGTTGGACTAGATGACCTACAAGGTCCCTTCTAACTCTGTTAATCTAATCTAATCTAACCACTAGAGCAAAGAGGCACTTCCAATTCCATTCTCTTTTCCCACCAATCAGTGAAAACTCAACCCACCTCTTCTCCCCAGTGTTTTCCCCACGAGTTCTGGATAATCCAGTATGATCCACTCCAGGTACCGCGTCGGATTTTACCTGCAACCCAAAAAGCACACCAGTAAACCCTAACAGCCTGGTCATGGGTGCTCATTCCCTCCTAACCCCTCTCAAGAAAGCTATCGTGTTTTTGAAGGTCCATCTTTGCTAAATTGGACTAAAACATGAGCGTCCCAACAACTTTGTTAGCTGCTCCCCAAATTCGGAACCTGAACTTGGAACTTGAATTTAGGTAGCCGCAAAACTTCAGCCTAATTCGGCGCATTAAAACTTTCACCTTGTTCTAGGTTTGCACCGGACTTTGGATCCCGGTTAACGGGTTCACTCTCGTTAATAAAACGTTGTTTCAGGCAACAGAACCGAGTTCGCTTATTGCATCCCATCATCAACTAAGCAATTGTAGGCAGTCCCGGGTTTACGACCATTCTCGGAAGCAGAATTTTGGTTGCGAAGCAAATGTCTGCGGAGATTCCTCGTCATCCAGGCCCTGGTTGTCTCAGAGGTGCTTTTTTTTCCCCCCAGAAGCAAACGGATTTTCTGGATTTTCTTTGAAGACGTTTCGCTTCTCATCCAAGAAGCTTCTTCGTCTCCGAAGAGTTCAAGAAGCTTCTTGGATGGGAAGCGAAACGTCTTCAGACAAAAAACAAGAAGTCCAGTTGCCTCTTGAAGGAAAAAATAAAAGCACCTTTGGGTGTTGCTAAGCAAAGTAATTTTTAAGCAAATCTAGCTTTTCTCATCAGTTTTGCTTAGGCAACTCACAGTTGGCGATCGCCTGACCCTGGGACTCCGCAGCCTCTGTAAATCCATGCCAGTTGAATTTTGATCACATGACTGGGGGGGGGCTGCAATGGTCATAAGTATGAGGACCAGCCTTGCCACTTTTCTCTGTGCCAGTCTGACTTTGAATGGTCCTTAAACAAACAGTTGTAAGCCAAGGACTGACTTCTGAGATTCACTCAGTAAGCTAAACATTCTCTCTCTCTCTTTTTTTCCCCTCTGTCTTTCTCTTTCTTCTCTGTCTTGGTTTCTCTCTGTCTCCCTCTTCTCTGTCTCTTTCTTTCTCTCTGTCTCTCTCTCTCTCCGTGTCTCTCTCTCTTCTCTGTCTCTCTGTCTCTTCTCTTTGTCTCTGTCTCTCTGCCTCTGCTTCTCTCTTTCTTCTCTGTCTCTTTCCCTCTCTCTCTTCTCTGTGTCTGTCTCTCTTTGTCTCTTTCTCTCTGCCTCTGCTTCTCTCTTCTCTTTCTCTCTGTCTCTGTGTCTCTCTCTTTCTCTCTCTCTCTTGCACATACTGATGTTCCTCAATTTACGACTGTAATGGAGCCCCAAATTACGATTGTTGATGCAGCTGTTAAGCAGGTCGACTACATGACCGCATACTGATTTTAGGATTGTTTTAGAGGAAATCATTAGACAACTGTGGTCATTAAGCAAACACTGTGTTGTTAAACAAATCAATTTTATCTGATGACAAAACCTATTGAAAATTCAGTGATTTTGAAGATGGGATTCTGCAAATCGCCATAAATGCAATCTGGTTGCCAAGCTCTCACAGTGAGATCCTGTGACTATTGGGGGGAGTGGGGGCATCAGAACTTTGACATCGCATCAGGAGTACCTTCTGGTGGCCCTGTCATAACTTCAGACAGTCGCTAAGCGACCGGTCATTGAACGAGGACTACCTGTATGGACTAAATCGGATTAAGATTCTAAGGTTAGGATGTTGGGAGATTGCAACCCTTCACAAACAACCCAACTGCCTTCAAAACTGGCGGGATACTGAATGGGAGAATCAAGCCAGGATCCACGAACCCCAACAAGCAAGGAAACACAGCTTACCTTCACCGAAGCCAACAATAAGGACCGCGTGGTCACGCCAGTTAGGGTCACAGCTCACCTTGGACCTCTGAATGATGCCGTTTCGGTAATGCTGCCCCACGGAGAGAATCCAAACAGACCACAATTAGCCATAGATGGATGGTCATTAAATTTCTGTTACCTCTCTAGGCGTCTCTTTGTTTCTCTGAGTCTTCCGGAATTAGTTCCAGTGGCCAAATTTACATGTTTCATCTGTATTTTGACCATTTTTTTTTCTTTTCCTAAAATTGAGCCACAAACTAACCCCGTGGCCTAGGTTTCTGCAATACAGGTGGTCCTCTACTTACGACCACAATGGAGCCCCAGATTTCTGGCGCTAAGCAAAACAGTGGTCAAGTAAATTTTACCCCGTTTTTACAACCTTTCTCCCCACAGATCCCTGCAATTGTTAAGTTAGTAACACGGTTGTTAAGCGAATCCACCGTAAACATGAGTCTGTTGCCAAGGATCCGAATTCTAATCATGGGGAAGCTGGAAATGTCATAAATGTGAAAAGCGGTCGTAAATCCTTTTTTTTTTTTTCAGTGATGTAACTTGGGTCACTAAATGAGCTGTTGTAACTGGAGGACTACCCGTCTACAGGAGCTGGCCTGAGTTCAAATTAACCCAAGTTAGGGAATCTGGGAAAATTCAGCCACAAAAGAACCTCGGCAGCGAATCGGGAAGGATGTCAGCTAATGAAAACGTTCCTTTTTTCCACCTGAATTTTACCCCCGTTCTCACCTGCAGGTTTTTTCCGTTTATCAAAGCCGTCACGGGACCCTGGGTGGCCACCATATTAGCAATATCTGGGAGAAAAAAACATCACAAATTAACCTGGAAGTTTGGATAAGCAAAAACCTAGAAGAGCAAAATTAGGATTTTGGAGCGAAATTCATTTCCCCTCTCAAATACAGGTTGTCCTGGACTTACAACGGCCCGTTTAGTGACCAAAAAAAGGGACTTGTGGCTGTTTTTCACACTTAACGACCGTTGCAACATCCCCATGGACAGGTGATCAAAATTCGCTTGGCAACGGGGTCATATTTATGACGGTTGCAGTGTCCCAGAGGGGTCATGGGATCAACTCCCATCAAGTGCCGTGGGGAAGCGTGATAGCAACGGCAATGATTCACTTTAACAGCTGAGGAAGGAAAGGTCGTAAAACGGGGCAAGCCCCACTTTTAACAAAGGTCTCAATTAGCAACGTAAATTTTGGGCTCAATTGGGGTCATAAGTCCAGGTAGTCCTCGACTTACAACCATTGTCATTGCCAAGCCAGGCGGACGTGACATGAGTCACACCACCACCACCTTTTATCTCTTTGCCAAAGCGGTGAAGCAAATCAGCCTGGTTGTTAAGTGAACCACCCAGTTGTTAAGCGAGTCAAGCTTCCCCCATTAACTTGGCATGTCAAGACACCCGCTGGGAAGATCCCCAAAAGGGGATCCCAGGATCCCAGGACGTTGCAACGGTTGTAAATAAATGCCGGTTGCCAAGCGCCCCAATTTTGATCACGTGACGGTGGGAATCCTACAACTGTTGTAAATGTGAGGATTGTTTGCAAGCCAGTTTCCAGTGCCGTTGTAACTTTCAATGGTCACTAAATGAATGGTTGTAAGACAATTACCATCCTCTTTTAACGGCCCCATAATCCCCTTGCGGGGTGGAGTCCAAACAACTGAAAGGAGCTAACAGAGTGTCCGAATGGCCGGATGCCCTTCCTGTCGCCAATGTGGAGTTTTGTTCAGCAGAAATATTTTCATCGTGCCCAGAGAGAGAAATATCTACCTCTACCTAGGATTGAACTCGCAGCCTCCTGATTGTGAGATGAGAGCTCCAGCTCTAGGCCACCGCACCACAATGGTTGTAACACAATGACTTACCTGTATTAAGCCACAATGTTGTTTGGGGTTTTTTGGGGGGGGCGCGGGGGGACATCATATAACTGCACCTCTCGCATTTAAATTGGTTGAACATGTAAAAAGAGACTGTCTACTTACAGATAATGTTTTTATTCTTGCTCCAATTTTTCCAAATGCAAAAAGACACAACCTTACATTAAAAAAAAGGGGGGGGATCTTGAGTCAACCTGCTAATTTTTTTCAGGTGCCTCAAGCGGCTTATAATTCAGACGGGCCAGTCCAGCCCTTATCCAAAGACTTACATTTCTCATCCCTTGGAAGTATGCTGTAACCATCAATCTTGGTTAGTTTTTGCTTCTTGAATTTCAGGCAGCGGTGGTTTTCCCCAATGTAAGGGTAAAATGTGCTCGGTGCCAATCCACCTGGAAAAGAAACCGAGGATGGTTCACGAAAGGGGGTGGAGGAGAAAGACTTTAAAAAAAAAGTTTTATTACCGTTATCATTTTGGAATTTTCCTAACGTCGGCAGTTAAGTAACTGCCTTGAAACTGTTCTAATGACCAGGCAGATAATTCGCTAACCACCTGCTGCACGAAATCCAGCCTTCAGCCTGCAAGCAAGCCGAGTTGATCATCAAAGAACAAAATATGAGAAGAGCTGCAGGAATTGGGTGTGTCTATTTTAATGAAAAGAAGGACAAGAGGTGACTTGACAGCAGAAGTTCAGCATTTGAGGGGATACCCCAGAGAAGAAGGGGGTCAATCTATTTCCCAAAGCACCAGAAGGCAGGACGAGAAGCAACGGATGGAAACGAATCCAGGAGAGAAGCAACCTCGAATTCTGGAGAAACTTCCTGACAGGAAGAATAATTAATCAGTGGAGCAACTTTCCTCCAGAATTTGGAGGTATAATTGGAGGTTTTTAAGAAGACATTGGACAGCCATTGGCCTGAAATGGTATAGGCTTTACTGCTTGAGCAGTGGGGTTGGTCTAGAAGACCTCCAAGGTCCCTTCCAACTCTGTTATTCTGTAATTCCAAAGCAACTTAAGGACAGGCCAAGAAGCAATGGATGGAAATGAATGAAATAGAGAAGCAACTTAGAACTAAGAAGAAACTTCTTGACAGGGAGAACAATTAATCGGTGGAACAACTTGCCTCAAGAAGTTGTTGGGCTCCATCACTGGAGGCTTTTAAGAAGGAATTAGACACCCATTTGTCTGAAATGGTATAGGGTCTCCTGCTCGAGCAGGGGGTTGGTCTAGATGACCTCCGAGATCTCTTCCGACTCTGTTATTCTCTTATCTCTGCCTCTCGGTTCACAACTCACTCACCTGCTCGCACAGAGCCCACCTTGATGGGTTGTTGTGAGGCTCCAACATGGGTTGAGCCATCACAGCCCGGGCTCCAGCGAGGGGGGGAAAGAGTTGTGTGAACTCACTTAAAAGCTACCACAAAAAAATGCAACAAACTGGGATGTTCACATACTGTTGTTGACGACGTACTGAAACGCGTCCCAGACATAGCCCCCTACGCAGCCTCCTCGGGGGTGGTATGTGCAGTCGATGACTTCTAGAATGAAAGAGAGAGAGAGAGAGAGAGAGAGAGATTATTTCGAAGAAGATTGTCGGACAGTGATGGAAGATGCTTGCCTTCCTCTAGTTCCCAAATCAGTCAGCCCTCTCTGCCCCTCAACCTGTCCCCACTTCCCAATCTGAGTTTGCAGAAGACCATTGAGGGAACTACCCAATATGCCTCAATCTTGGCAAAGTTAAGATGCATGGACTTCAACTCCCAGAATTCCCAGCCAGCCTGCTTTAAGATGCATGGACTTCAACTCCCAGAATTCCCCAGCCAGCCTGCTTTAAGATGCATGGACTTCAATTCCCAGAATTCCCCAGTCAGCATTCTTTAAGATGCATGGACTTCAACTCCCAGAATTCCCAGCCGGCCTGCTTTAAGATGCATGGACTTCAACTCCCAGAATTCCCAGCCGGCCTGCTTTAAGATGCATGGACTTCAACTCCCAGAATTCCCAGCCAGCCTGCTTTAAGATGCATGGACTTCAACTCCCAGAATTCCCCAGCTGTCAGGTTTTAAGGGGCGGACATCATGTCCCAGAATTCCCCAATCAGTCTGCTTTAAGAGGGATGGTCTTCAACTCCCAAAATTCACTGGCCAGCAAGGAATTCTGGGAGTTGAAGTCCACCCGTCTTAAATAAATTTCTGGGATTGAGAAACCACTTGAATGAACCCTCCTTTGTCACCTACCTTCCCGTCATCTGACATACCTTGCACGGAGAGGCTGCAGTTAACATTTCGGTGAATCTTCCACAACGCCTCTATGTTGGAGACGGCTGCAAAGGCCCAACAGGACGCGCACTCTCCCTACGGAAGAGATCGGAAACATTAAACTAGGATCTGGCCCGTGTCCTCTGATTTCTAACCACATCTCTGGTATCCTAGGGCTGTTAACAGTGCAGGAAAATTCACCCTGCAGCATCAGTAGCATATAGCAGGCGCTGCAAATTTCACGGAAGAAAGGAAAAGCCATTCTTTATATAGTTGCCAAGAGAATTGCATGAACTACTCCGGGACACCACTAGCCTTCATCCTGGCCCTAGTCCAGCATTCTTTTAAGGTGGGTGGACTTCAACTCCCAGAATTCCCCAGTCAGCATTCTTTTAAGAGATCAGCTTGCTGGGAAATTCTGGGAGTTGATCTGGGGGATTCTGGGGATCGAAGTCCACCCCACTTAAACTGTCTAAAGTTGCAAAAATAACTACTCCAGGGACTTCGATTTAGTGGTTCAAGACAATGTCACTCAACAAGGCAGGACAAATCCATCTTTCCCCTTCAACATCATCAAGGCTGGAAGATCTCCCTAAAATTTATGCTCTGCGTAAGTCACATCTATCCCCACCAAAAGTCCCTGCTGGTTGAGAAGACGGAAATCGGCGTCCGATGTGACATTAGTTTGCGGAAGATAAGTCGGCAGCTCTCTCTGTCCACGCTCACCTGGTCCATCACTGGAGACAAGCCCTTTTTTCTCCAGTCGCAGAATCGGGGTGCCCCCATGAAGCTACGGGGCGGCTCCATTGGCCCAAACGGCACAGCCTTCAAAACCGGGTTTCCAAACTTCTTCGCAAACTCACTTTCTGCGTAGGGAAGAAAAGACATTCTGTATCATCCGCCTGTGGCTTGGGCTTATGACTCCAGTCTTCTCTAACCATCCTGAGTCGTGAAGGCGGGGGATGAGGGGTATTGTAGTGGAGGAAGCATCCGGGAGGAGGTTGCAGAGTTTGGGCAACCTGGTTAATTTACTAACTTTCACTTTGCCAAAAGCGCTGAAGCTTAAAAAGGAGCCTAAGCGTGAAAACTAAGATCGTGAGCCCTCTCAGTTCCTGGCCAATAGATGGGAAAGAAATGGAGGTAGTGACAGATTTTATCTTCCCGGGCTCCACTGCAGGTGGGGACTGCAGGCAAGGAATTAAAAGGCGCTTGCTCCTGGGGAGGAAAGCTATGGCAAATCCAGGCGGCCTACTCAAAAGCAGAGACAAATCCCCCTGCCAACAAAGGGGCGTAGAGTCAAGGCTGTGGTTCCCCCAGTGGCAATGTATGGCTGGGAAAGTTGGACCGTAAGGAAGGCTGAGCGCCAAAGAATGGAGGCCTTTGAACTCTGGGGCTGGAGGAGACTCCAGCGAGTCCCTTGGACTGCAAGGCCATCCAACCAGTCAATCCTAGAGGAGATCAACCCAGACTGCTCTTTAGAAGGCCGGATCTTGGAGAGGAAACTCAAAGACTTTGGCCACCTCATGAGAAGGAAGGACTCGCTGGAGAAGAGCCGAATGCTGGGAACGATGGAGGGAAAAAGAAGAAGGGGGTGGCAGAGAAGGAGGTGGCTGGAGGGAGTTCCCTGAAGCAGTTGGCGTGAGCTTCAATGGACTCTAGAAGATGGTAGAGGACAGGAAGGCCTGGAGGAATGTTGTCCATGGGGTCACGATGCATTGGACACGACTTCGCAACTAACAACAACAAGAAGTGTAAAAAATGGTCATGTCACTTTTTTTCCAATTCTGATTTAAGTTTGAACGGTCCCTAAATGCACTGATGTAAGACGAGGACTACCTGTTGATGCTGGAGACTTTCCCGGTTGGCCATCTGCCTAGCCGCCCTTCAGCAATTCAAACCACACCGGCCAAACATTTATTAAACAGACCAAGGAGAGGTGACCCACCACAGGCGTGGGGTGGGAAAACCTGCCTTCTTTTTTATTAAGTTTTCTATTTTTACTCTTCCCCAAGAGGGAGACGTCCGTGTGGAATTTTCAGCCTCGGCTGCCAAAATAATTTGGCCGGCCTTGGGTGTTGTGTACCTACACACACACACACACACAAAAGGAGTAGGAAGAAAGACGGGAGGAGCGGGGAAAGCCAATTCTTTTGATCCTGCGCGATAGCCTTGCGAGACTCGGGCAAAATTCCCCAGGAATTCAACTTTCTTGGACCGTTTGCTTGGTATTCCACCAAGTGCCAGCCAAATTGTCCCCCCTTCCAAGCTCACCCCTTCAACCGGGGTGAATAAAACACACTGCTTAAACACACAACGCTTGCAGTGCCCAAACAAAAGGACCATTGTGTGACCTGGCCGTCCCAAGCTGTTTCCTGCGAGCCACTGAGATAAGGGCAGCTTCCTACAACATGCTTCGCTGTTTCAGTTTAACAGAATTACAGAGTTGGAAGTGGACCTTAGAGGTCTTCTAGTCCAACCCCCTAATCAGGCAGGAAACCCTATGTCATTTCAGGCAGGTGACTGTCCAGGCTTTTCTTATAAACTTCCAGTGGTGAAGCACCTACAAGCCATTCCACAGGTTAATTGTTCTCACTGTCAGTAAATGTCTCTCTTTGTTTAGTTTCTTGTCTCGCCTTCTGGTGCTTTGCAAAACAGAAAACTGGACAAGAAGCCCAGCTGCTTTTTGAAAAAAATAAAAAGAGAGAGAGATTTAGCCATTGTGTCGATGCAACACGGCTGAAACTCCGCTGGTTAGATCTGCAACGGAGGTTGGATTCTGTGGTGGGCTCATCTCTAAAACATCCTGCTTACCACAGCGACACGGAGGCTTGCCCACCTCTGCAGGACGGGAACGCTCAGCTCACCACCAGCCCACCGCAAAGACAACTCGGGGTCTTTGTTTGCACAGGCGGTTCAACAGCAACACTTTCCAATGTGCAAACCAGGGCTGCGCGGTTTATTCAACTCATTTCACTTTATTGGGCCGCTGGCTGCTTTGGGAATGTCCCCTCCCTTCTGCCTCTTGGGCACCGCCTCCCCATCGCCATTTCATAGAATCCTAGACCTGGAACGGACCTTGGTTTGGACTAGAACAGTGGTCGCCAACCAGTGGGCCGGGGACCGTTGGTGGTCCGTGAGAAAATTTTGGTGGTCTGCAGAGAAAAAGCACCCGCGAAAGCAATTAATCCAGACTGCACAGGAACACAAGGCTTGCGTCGCTTGCATTGTGAACAACATGAGGTAGTGAGGGGAGGGGGGAATTTGCCCCACTCGCCTGGCCTGGCCACCGGGCTGCTTCTTTCCACTTCTTTCTTCTTCTGCAGGCAAGGAAAGCAGCCAAAGTCTTTCTTTCTCTCCCCCAAACTCTGCCAGAAATGAGTCTTTGGGACCCTGCAAGGCCTCCTGCTCCTAGAGGCTGCGCCGACAAAGACTCATTTCTGGCAGAGTTTGCGGGAGAGAAAGAAAGACTTCGGCTGCTTCTGCTGTTTTCCTTGCATGAAGCCAAAAGTCTCTCTCTCTTTCTCTACCCCTGAGAACTGAGCTGGAAATGGTATCCTGTTCCCAAATAAAAAACGATCGATCAGTAGGAAATTGGGGTGGAGAATTTTCCTCCAGACTTTTTTGGGGATTTCTCAGGGTCTCTGGTCCACAGGATTTAAAATTATGGGTTTGGTGGTCCCTGAGGTCCAAAAGGTTGGCAACCCCTGGACTAGATGACCTACAAGGTCCAACTCTGTTTATTGCGTGACAGGTTGTCCCTGACTCAACAACCATGATGACGCCCCAAATTTTCATTGATAAGCGAAGCATTTCTTAAGCTACTTTTGCCCCATTTTACAAGCTTTCTCATCACCATCGTTCAGAGTATCCCTGCAGCAGTTAACTTGGCCAGCTGGTTGTTAAGCGAATCCGGCTTCCCCATTGACTTGGCTTGTCAGAAGTTCGTGACCTCGGGACACTGTCATAACTATGAGTCAGTGGCCAAGGGTCTGAATTTTGATCACGTCACCGTGGGGATGCCACAACAGTTGTAAGAGTGGAAAACGGTCGTAAGTCACTTTTTCCAGTACTGTTGTAACTTTGAACAGTCACAAAATAGATAGTGTTGGAAAGGACCTTGTAGGTCGAATCCAACCCCCCCCCCCGCCCCCCAGGAGAAACTACACCATTTCTGACAGGTGGTAGTTCAATCTCTTCGTGAAAGACTGTAGACTAGGTGAAACCAGGTTTAATAGCAGTAACTGTGAGAGGGATCTTGGAGTCTTAGAGGACAACCAGCTAAATATGAGCCAGCAGTGCGCAGAACCGCCAAAAAAAGCTAATGCAATCCTAAATTGTATTAACAGAGGGATACAATCAAGATCAAGAGAGATACTAACACCACTCTATAAAGCCTTAGTAAGTCCACACCTAGAGTACTGCATCCAGTTTTGGTCACCACACTATAAAAAAGATGTTGGGACTCTAGAAAGAGTGCAGAGAAGAGTAACCAGGATGATGAGGGGACTGGAGGCTAAAACATACGAAGAACTGTTACAGGAACTGGGCCTGGCTAGTCTAGGGAAGAGAAGGACCAGGGGAGACAGGAGAGCATCTTCCAATATTTGAGGGGCTGCCCCAGAGAGGAGGAAGGGGGTCAAGCTATTTTCCAAAGCCAGACAAGGAATAATGGATGGAAATATACAAAAATCAAGGAGAGATTCAACCTGGAAATAAGGAGAAACTTTCTGACAGGGAGAACAATCAACCCATGGAACAGAAGTTGCCTTCAGAAGTTGTGGGAGCTTCATCCCTGGAGGCTTTCAAGAACAGACTGGACTGCCATTTGTCAGAAATGGTATTGGGTCTCAACTCTTGGGCAGAGGGTTGGACTAGATGACCTACAAAGTCCCTTCCAGCTCTGTTTATCTGTTATCTGAAAGCTTCCAGTCACGAAGCTCCCACAACTTCTGAAGGCAACTTCTGTTCCACTGGTTGTTTGCCAAACGAACGGCTGTAGGTCGTATTCTGCATTCTGTTATTCAGCATTCTTGAATAATCGCCCGCATGGATCAAACATTCCATTTCCCTTCCATCTTACCTGTCAAGTCACTGAAAGGGGTGATCCCATATTGTGCAGTCCCCAGTTCAGTGTCCTGCAAGACCTGGCTCGTTTCCATGTTCTGTGCGAAGACCTTGAAGCGGTAAATCATCTCTAGGATGAAGAAATCAAAGGGGCAGGAAACAGAAAGCCCCATTTAAGTTACAAACATGGAACGCTTAGCTGATGTTAGACCCTACTTCGTCTGCTTCTCCTCTTCCTGGGTAGCTGTGGTTTTAATATTTTTAGATTGGGAAGTCAGGTAACCATTCCAGAAAGAGAGAATTGCAAAGTCTTGTAGCCAAATCCTTTTCGTGTCCCTGTTGTTTTAACACCTCAGGAGTCAAAATAATTTTATTTTAGCTCATGGAGCGCACTGAAATGCTTCAAAATTTGCAGCTGGACAGATGAACATTAACACAGCCAAAATTTAATACTTTTAGAAGGGTGTTTTTCAACCCTGGCAACTTGAAGATGTGTGGTGTGGACTTCGACTCCCACAATTCCCCACCTGGCCTGCTTTAAGATGGGTGGACATCAATCCCAGAATTCCCCAGCCAGCAGTTTGGCTGGGGAATTCTGGGAGTTGAAATCTCCGAATCCTCCAGCTGCCAAGATTGAGATACATACTGCTCTAGAGAGCATCCACTTGGTGGTCTCAGATCTGCTTCTCTTCTAATTCAAGTTGCATTCACACATAATAAAAACATGGCTAGATTCAACTTCTTCTGCGATTTATCAGAATCCCATTTATTGGGCTAGGTTTAAGATGCAGGGTGCAGAGGGGGAAAAAATTCATATATATTGCTTACCTTCTTGGCTGTTGTAGGTTTTGCCAAACTTCTCCAAAAAATCCTGGAACTTCCCAGCCAGTTCCATCTGGAACAAACAACAGCACGTTAAAAAGTTAACCCGCTTCAGAATAAAAACATTGCAAAGACAAATTTCCACTTGCAGCCCAATTTTTGTTTTCTACCAACGCAATGCTGTCCGTAGCTGTTCCGTCCATGTTAGCCTTGTTAACTTTCTTTTATATATTTAGGAAAAAAATTTAAAAAAGGAAAGATCAGTTGAATGCAATTCCTGAAGCATTTCTTTCCTTGGCCAAAGAAGTTTCTATTTTTCTACTTTATTTTCAGGCTGCTTGAGAATTTTGATTTATTTTTAGATTTTTCTCAAAGAGGTTTTCTGAAGCTGGTGGCAAACTTACAGTAGCTTTCCCCGTTATTCTATCAACTTTGTAGCAGTCTGCAAAAATATATAATTTCTCTCCCCCAATAATATGGAGAATAATCATTTCTCTCCCCAGAATAATATGGAGAATCACCGGAAAGCTGGGGAGAAAATTAAAGACTTTGATCGATAATTTATCAAGCACCTCTATGGGTCCAAGAGAGATTTAGAACTGGAACCAAGAAGAAATTTCCTGACAGTGAGAACAATTAATGAGGAGCCAGATTGTTGAGGGCAACAGGCTGACTCTGTAAAACCGCTTAGAGGGAGCACTATAAAGCGGTATATAAGTCTTAAGTGCTATTGCTAGGTGCTAGTCAGCAGAACCACTTGCCTCCACAAGTTGCGGGTGCCATATCAGTGGAGGTTTCTAGCAAAAGATTGGACAGCCATTTGTCTGAAACGGGATAGGGTCTCCTGCTTGAGGAGGGGGTTGGACTAGAAGACCTCCAAGGTCTCTTCCAACTCTGTTTTTCTGTTAGGGGCTGCAGGCTAAACCATACAAGGAATGGTTACGAGAACTAGGTATGTCTAGTGAAAAGAAGGACCGGGGCCGACATGATAGCAATATCCCAGTATTTGAGGGGCTGCCCCAAAGAAGAGGAAGGGGTCAAGCTATTCTCCAAAACACCTGAGGGCAGGACGAGAAGCAACGGACGGAAAGTAAGTAAGGAGAGAACCAACCTAGAACTAAGAAGGAATTTCCTGGCATTGAGAAAAATTAATGCGTGGAACAGCTTGCTCCATCACTGGAGGCTTTCAAGAAGAGATTGGACAACCCATTTGTCTGAAATTTTGTGGGTTCTGCTGCTTTGAGCAGGGGGTTGGACTAGATGACCTACAAGGTCCCTTCCAATTCTTCCGTTGTTCTGTTATTTTCTGCACAGCAAATGATTAAGCTGTTATCTAAAGGCAAGTTGCAACAATGATCAGAGATGCGGGGGGGGGGGGGGGGGAATTTACAGCCGTTTTCCTCCCTTCTTTCGACCGCCCCATTTCCCTTCCCCTATTTAGGGGGGGTTCTCCTCACCGTGGCCGGATCCGAAGGGAGAGTAAAGTTGGCCCGAAGAGCAGGCATCCATGCCGCCCATAGCGTCAAGCCAGCGGCGAGTCTGGCCAGCCCCATCGCTGGTGCGTCTTGTCGCAATCTGGGGTTTGTGGTGAAAGTATCGACAAGGGATGGAAAGAAATATGAAGAGCTGGGGGAGGGCATGGAGGGGAAAACCACAGCGACAGGAAAGCGAGGTGTGAATTTGAGCCCTCGCTGTCAAAAGCAGGCAGCCTGTTTTTCTCTCTCTCTCTTTAAAAAAAAAAAAACCAACAACTTTTTGGAACTTTTGCAGTCATGGCTAAATAAATCGAACAACAACAACAAAACATTTATCTTTACAAATTCTCAGTCATCCAGATAGCGTTGTCGTCGCAACTGGACTCGTTTTTTTATGATTTAGTTTGAGGCGTTTGGCTGCTCTTCCGTAGAACATAGAAGAACAGAGTTGGAAGGGACCTCGGAGGTCATCTAGTCCAGTGGTCACCAACCAGGGGGCCGGGAACCACTGGTGGTCTGTGAGAAAATTTTGGGGGTCCGCAGAGAAACATCACCTCCAAATCAATTAATGCAGGCTGCGCGAGAACACAAGGCTTGCAACGCTTGCATTGAGAACAACACGAGGTAGTGAGGGGAGGGGGGAAAGGGCGGAGGGAGGGAACTTGCCCCACTCACCCCACACCCCTGGTCTGGCCACCGGGGTGCTTATTTCCGCTTCTTTCTTCTTCTGATTTTGGCTACACGCAAGGAAAGCAGCCAGTCTTTCTTTCTCTCCCCCAAACTCTGCCAGAAATGAGTCTTTGGGACCCTGCAAGGCCTCCTGCTCCAAGAGGCTGCGCCGGCAAAGACTCATTCCTGGCAGAGTTTGCGGGAGAGAAAGGAAGATTTCTGCTGCTTCTGCTGTTTTCCTTGCATGAAGCCAAAAGTCTCTCTCTCTCTCTCTCTCCCCAAGAACGGAGCTGGAGACAGTATCCTGCAATCCCAAATAAAGAATGACCGATCTGTAGGAAAACGGGGTGGGGGATTTTCCTGCAGACTTTTGGGGGGGAATTTCCAGGGTCTCGGGTCTGTGGGATTATGAGTTTGGTGGTCCCTGGGGTCCAAAACGTTGTCGCCCCCTGTTCTAGTCCAATCCCTGCTTGAGCAGCAGACATTATATCATTTCCCTGGACAACAAATGGTTGGCCCATCGCTTTTTGAAAGCTTAACACCTTTTGGAGGATGCTGTTCCACTGGAGAATTTATCCTTAGTTCCAGGTTGCTTCTCTCCTTGGTAAGTTTCCATCCGTTGCTTCTTGTCCTGCCTTCAGGGGCTTTGGAGAATAAGTTGACACCCGCCACTTCTTTGGGGCAGCCCCTCAAATATTGGGAGGCTCCTATCGTGTCTCCTCTTCATTAGACTAGACCTGCCCAATTCTAGCAACCGTTGTTTGTACGTTTTAGCTTCCATCCCCGGAGGTTTTTTTTTTAAAAAAAATCGCCTGGACATCCATTTGACCAGGATGGTAAACAGGGCAAGGGGTGTGTGTGTGTGTGTGTGTGAGTTGGACTAGAAGACCTCCAAGGTTCTCTTCCACCCCTTTAGGGTTCTGTACTCCCTGTTCTCAAAGACGCACAAACAATTCGCCTTGGCCGCAACGGGCTGCACATTCCTACCTGGGCGAGGTTCCCAAAACATCAAAAGGGCCAGAGAACGGCCCCACCAACGCTCCGGCCTGAATCGGGGCTGGGCTCTTTTTTTGGTTGTTTGTTTTAATCTTCAAAGGGGGGACGCCCCACATCCCTGGGACCGCAGCTCACCGATGCGCCCCTCCGCTTTGGAAAAGCCTTTTGATGTGAAGACCTTGGGTGCAGGTGTGGAAAGGCGCTGTTTGTGAACCGCTAATCTCCTCGCCGGCAGCGAGTGGCCCCACGGCCGCCTGGGCTTTTTCCGTCCTTCCTCCCCAGAGGAACATTCCTCCCCACGGAACTGGGGTGGGGGCTCTTCATAGCGGATGGACAAGGGGTCTCTATTAGAGGAGGAAGGTCAGGCCAGAGGGGGGCAAGGGAGGAGGAGGAGGAGAGGGACCTGCAGGATTTCTTCTCCAGGGTTTACTCCCTGAATTTCAGAAATGAAGGGCAAGTAGTCCCACAACAGCGCAAGAACAGAGTTGGAAGGGACTTTGGAGGTCTTCTAGTCCAGCCTCCTGCTCAAGCAGGAAACCCTGTTCCATTTCAAACGCATTTTCCTTTCTTCTCTATCTTTTTCTTCCTTTCATCGCTTCCTCAATCCCTCTTTTATTTCTTTCCTTCTTCCCTCCCTCCTTCCCTTTTGTCCTTCCCTGCTTCTCTCCCTCCATCCCTTCCTCAATCCCTCTTTTTTTCTTTCCTTCTTCCCTCCCTCCTTCCCTTTTGTCCTTCCCCACTTCCCTTCCTCCCTTCCTTCCTCAATCCCTCTTTTTTCTTTCCTTCTTCCCTCCCCTCCTTCCCTTTTTCCCTTCCCTTCCTCCCTCAATCCTTCCTTTTCTTCTTTCCTCCTTCCTTGCCTTGCTTCCTCCCTCCCTCCCTTCCCTAATCAAAGGGAGAAGCAACCTGGAAACAAGGAGAAACTTCCTAAGAGTGAGCACAATTAACCAGTGGAACAGCTTGCCACCAGAAATCGTGGGTGCTCCATCACTGGAGGTTTTTAAGAAGAGTCGACTCTAGACAGTCACTTATCTGAAGTATTGTAGGTCCTCCTGCTTCAGCAGGGGGCTGGACTAGAAGACCTCAAGGTCCCTTCCAGCTCATTCGTTCTATTCTAGCCCTTTCTCCCTCCTCGTTTCTTTTTTTACCCTTTCACTTTGGAAGCTATAATCGTTCTGCATCCTCTCAGAAGCTTCTAGTCCTCATGGTTTCAAGGATCTGGACAGAGACATGTTAGATTGTGGGGGAAGATCAGTCGATAAAATAAATTCAACAGGCACAAACCAAATCAGTTTTCCCCCCCATGCATCTTTGACTCGGATGAAAAAAATAAGTGAGCAAGATTGTGCGTATGTGTTGGTTTTCACTGTACTCTGCTTATGCTCAGAAAAAAAATTCCCCTTTTATTAAAATTGTTCCGATTCCACTGAAGATAAAATGCTGAAGACAAGATGCATCGGGGAGGACACCCTTGGAATATTGCAACCAGTTCTGGTCACCACAGTGCAGAAAAGAGAAGAGCAACCAAGATGATTTAGAGGACTGGAGGCTAAAACATGCAAACAACGGTTGCTAGAATTGGGCAGGTCCAGCCTAACGAAGATAAGGACCAGGGGGGACACGATAGCAGCCTCCCAATATTTGACAGGCTGCCAACCTCTTCTCCAAAGCCCCAGAAGGCAGGACAAGAAGCAACGGATGGAAACTTATCAAGGAGAAAAGCGAGCTGGAATGAAGGAGAAATTTCTTGACAGTGAGAACAATTAACCCGTGGAATTGCTTGCCTTCCGAAGTTGTGAATGCTCCAACACAGGAGGTTTTCAAGAAGAGATTGGATAGCCATTTGTCTGAAATGGTATAGGGTCTCCTGCTTGAGCAGGGGTTGGACTAGAAGACCTCCAAGTTCCCCTCCAACTCTGTCATTCTCTATACATTCCCCCGTGTGCTGATGCTTCCTTCAGGGCAAAGTCTGTAGGGATTCTCAGTCACCCAGGTCCTGGTTGTCCTAAAGGTGCTTTTTTCAAGAGGCAGCTGGACTTCCTTGTTTTTTTCTTTCGAAGACGTTTCGCTTCTCATCCAAGAAGCTTCTTCAGCTCCTTCCATTCCCCACCAACCTGTCAGAACTGAAGAAACTCCTTGGATGAGAAGTGAAACGTCTTCACAGTTATAGAGGTGCAGACAGTTATAGAGGTGCATGTGACAGACTCAATCATTCCTTCTACAGAGGAATGATTGAGTCGATCATCTGCACCTCTATAACTGTCTGGTTCGGTTCTGCAACCCAACAAGACAGACACAGACTTCAAAGAGTGATTAGGACTGCAAAAAAAACAATGGCCACCAACCTGCCTTCCATGGAGGACCTGTATGCTGCAAAAAGAGACAAAAAGAGAGCTGTGAAAATATCTAGAGACCCCTCACATGCTGGACAGAAACTGTTTCAACTCCCACCCTCAAAACGACACTATAGAGCCCTGCACACCAGAACAACTAGACACAAGGAGTTTTTTCCCCGAACACCATCACTCTGCTAAACAAATAATTCCCTCAATACTGTTTAACTATTTACAAAGTCTGAAGTACTATTACTATGACTCTTCTCATCACTCCTTATCACCCATCCCCTCCCACCTGTGACTGTATGACTGTAACTTTGTCACTTGTATCCTTATGATTTATATTGACTGTTTCCTAATATGATTTAATTGCTTATTGTACCCTATGACTATCATTAAGTGTTGTACCTGATGATTCTTGACTCTGGACCAATGTCTCTTTTCTTTTATGTACACTGAGAGCATTTGCACCAAGACAATTCCTTGTGTGTCCAATCACACTTGGCCAATTAAGAATCCTATTCTGTTCTATTCTATTCTGTTCTATTCTATTCTATTCTATTTCTGTTTCTGTTTCTGTTCTATTTCTATTCTCTTATGATTCTTGGCAAATATACTTTATTATTTTCTTTATGTACACTGAGAGCATTTACACCAAGACAAACTCCTTGTGTGTCCAATCACACTTGGCCAATTAAGAATCCTATTCTATTCTATTCTATTCTATTCTATTCTATTCTATTCTATTCTATTCTATTCTATTCTATTCTATTCTATTCCAAAGAAGAAGAAGGAAAAAGGAAGTCCAGTTGGACCTTTGAGGCAAGGCTTACTCTGCGCTCTGCTCAAGCTCAGGAGCACCTTCTCCACCTCCCTTCACCCCACAATCCCACTCAGTCTTTTCCCCCAAATCCAACCGCTCAGACTTGAGAGCCTGGCAAATCCTGGGCACGAAATCCTTATCTTGGTCCTTGCAAGCAGGGGCCACTGTTTGGAGGGATGGATGAGGGGAAGGAGGGAGGGAGGGAGGGAGATAGAGAGGGAGGGTCCCAAGGGGGTGGCAAGAATGCCTGGCTTTGCCCCCGGGTGGACCGTAGCGCTGGCACCCGACTCTCCTTCTGCAGTTGCTGTCCTCGGGGGATGAGGAGCCTGAAAAATGCCAAGGTCACCGCCGGCCTGGAGGAGAGACAGATAAAAGCCTGTTCCCAGCGTCCCTTCGCATCCCCCCTTCAGAAGGCAACCCCTCAGCGCTGCTTGCTTTCGGTGCCCACCTGCGCCCATTCGAACAGCCTGGTGCCATGTTCACCCTGTTCCTCCTCCACCTCTTGCTGGCCGGGGTGCCCTCCGTTGGCGCCTCTGACCTCCGGGAGGGAGACCCCACGGGGCAGAAGCCCCCTGAGTTTTCTGCCCTGACTCTCAACGCAAGGTAAGGCTTTCCAGGGGCCCCTGCCCAAATGTCGGGGAGCCCAGAGAATGGCAGGGTGGTTGAGGGGCTGGTTGGGAGGAGCTGGGGTCAAATCCCCACCTGGCCTTCGCAGTCCTGCAAAGCTCCGTTGCAAAGACAGAGACACCCCCACCTCTCTCCTCGAGTGAGAAGGTGAGCCACGTAGTCTGAACGGGGCAGGGGAGAATTGGGTGGGGGGTAAATACCACGGGCCAGCTCCTCAAGGGTTTTTTGGGGGGGAGAAGCAAGGAGGTTGGGACAGATCTGCTTTTGGGGGGATGGGGGGGGCGGAATTTCTTGGGAATGTTTGGGAGGATGTCGAGATGGCAACGTAATGATGAATAAAAGGAGAGGAGATGAAAGGTGCAAGAAGACAGGTAACTTTTCCAGAGGATTTTTGAGGGGCTGGGGGCATTGGGGAGCTGCCAGACTATACCTCCCATCAGGCACAGGTGGGGAAAGGAAGCCCGCGAGGGTGACCATTTGGAAAGGCTGCTGGGAGAGGCGGTCCCCGCGCCCGTCCCTTTTACCTGTGCCCCTTTTTGATTCCACCCCCCGGTTGCCGGGTTTCTAAAAAGCTCTTTGCTCCCGCATCTCTCCGCCAGGATGCAGGAAATTAAAATTAACTTTTAACATTGTACTTTAATCATCCGTGCCTCTTTTACAATTTTTATCTTCTGGTTTTATGTTTTCCTATTTTGTCTGTACGCTGCCCAATTGTCTCCCGGTGTGAGGGAGATGGGTGGTTTCAAAATTTGATGGATGGATCAATAAATGATGGATGGAGATACAGATGAGATAAAAGAAAGATAGATAGATAGATAGATAGATAGATAGATAGATAGATAGATAGA